GTTGTTATTTATTCAACTACCAGCATTCAACCATATTTCTGAGGCAATGGCCCGAGAAATCCCTCTCTGGCCATTGCTGGATTAGCTTCTGATACTTGCGCTTTGGAGGGAGTGTGTCTATTCTTCTCATTCAGTCAAATCTATCCCCAAGCACAGCAACATGACAACCCTTCGTTTAATCAGGGGTCTTCCCTAAAACTTTGGACAATGATTTAAGGTATTAAAAGCGGTGAAAGTGTTGTTCGTCTTAAAAAAGTATTGTTCAATCACCCGTGTTGATAGCCTCGTTTGTCACACAATTAGTTTTTAGGCAATATTCTGCTATGCACTGGTTAATTGAGCATAATAAAATCGTGAGTCATGACGTAACGTTATGTAAACATATTTGGCCCAATTTGGAGCTCTGTTTAAAGCGTAATGATAATGTTACGCAGTTAGCTATTGGTTGTTAATCGGACTATTGACCAGTCATAATTTGGAACAAGAATTTGTATTCTTTACAGCAGTGAGTAGTGGGTTAGCTCTAATCAAACGAAACACTGCGAGGAGTATAGCATTCAACTAACTATACAAGAAATAACTATCATATAATTTAGAGCTATTACCCCAGATTTTATGTAATAATTAATGTTAGCTATGTTATTTTTAGAATAAAGTACATCCTTCTCCTATGCGATGAAAAAAAAGTCTAAAGTTTCATAAAATTATGTATGACTTCTTTTTTTAAAAAACACCAAACATTATAGTGTTATTTATGTGTTTATGTAATGTTGATGTGGATGACATACCGTATAAAGAGGCTTGTTGAATTTGGTGACATCCGGGGCCGTAACTAGCTCAGAGCAACGAAGGGGAATAGGGCGGGACGTGTTCTCAAGGGTGCTGTAAAATTGACCGACAATGTATATTTCACTGTGGGGGGGGGGGGGGACAGCGCCCCTCCTGATTACGGGCCTGGTGACACCAGGATATGTTACTCTTGATCATGAATTACAACAGAAATAAATGAAATGAAGTGGGGTTTAACGTCCTGTTTTTCTGTAACTGGGTGGGATAATGAAATCGACCATGCACCATGTGGTGTGTCATGCGGGATAGGGGTATTGCTGGGATAGTAGTATTGTCGCCTACTCTTTGTCGAATTCCAACTGCCCAGGTGTTTTTACGTACATTTGTACGTGTTAACGACACTTCGATTATTCGCCCCATTCACTGAGTCACCGTGGATCCCAATGTGGTCCGGCTACTAGGGATTACAAGTTCGTGCGCCAGTGAATAAATTACCATTTATACTGAGTGTGAACGCGACCCGACCGCGAACGTGGTTACTACCCACTGCAACTTTCCGCGCGAACCATCGTTCAAACTGTAACACGCCGTTTGACCCTGCACCCTGATTGGTTTGTGGAAATCGTTCGCTCGAACTATTCCCAAGAATTCGCTCTGGAGGCCATCTCCGTGGAAAGTGTGCGAAAAGGACATTCCACCGCGTTCGCGTTCGCAGTTAGTATAAACGATTTTATTCTAAAAGTAGTTAATCAAATGCGATCGCAGCGTTTACGTTTGTGGTCACATTCGCGCTTAGTGTGAATCGCCCTTCAGAGAGTTACAATGACCGTACAATGGACCCGACACTAATCGACAAACCACCCGTTGGAAAATTTGATATAAGTACGATGTTTCAAAAAGAGCATTAGGGCAGTGAGAGCTAAAACGAGACCAGTCTGTCTGCATGGTAAACTGCATAGTAAAGATACATGAGATTTGATAAAGAGCTGGCAGTTCTGACTATAATAGTTAACAAAAAAACCTAAATAATGTAAAGGGTATTTGCTGAAAATTTCAGTCAAATTGATCCACTCTGAACTGAGAATATAGCGATTAAATTTTCGGCCTAGCCTCGATCATCATTACTAAAGACGGTACGATGAAAACAAAAAAACATAGTCTCGATTATCCATTTCATGATTTTATTACGAATGAAAATTGTGCAGCAAATCGGGTCCTAATACAGTAAATATCGCAGGCTAGCCATGACATCGAGAGTTGATTATGGTCTGGATAAGTTAATTAATGTCTAATTAATAGTTTATATAATATTTCAGGCCTAGAGAAAGACCCACAATAGGCAGATTTATCTCTTGCATAATGTATGTTTAACACAGGTAAATCATCTGGCCATGTCCCTTTAAAATAATATCGCAAAGAACAATAAACAGTTTTAGTCTGAATAAAGCACCCACAATGAATGTCTAAACGGGTGATGAAGAGATAACAATATCAGTATATAGGACACCAGTAAGAGAAACATATATAGATACATTGAAAATTACCTATGCAGAACTATTTTGTTATTTTCTGTAGGCGGTCATAATAAAGGGAAACATTAGAAGGCTAGAGTTTTTTTGGTGGACGAGCGTAATACGATATATACAAATCGTACCCGGACATCCTATTCCGATGTTAATTATGGTGAAATCAAATCAAATAGAATGAAATGGGATTTACCGTCTTACTTTTATGCACCGACTGGGCTAATGATGACAGGCATACGCAGTCTGTCATTGAAATAAAATTGAACCAAATGTTAGTCCCGAAATAACCTAATTAATGTTGAGTGGATGTTACCCCCCCCCACCTCTCTCTTTTAATAGATTTTAGTTCAAATTGATTGCGCTTGCGCAGTTTCCGTTTTCGTCAACTGGAGTACAGATTTAAACAAATACTCTTCCGAACTGAAATGAAATAAAATGAAATGGAGTTTAACGTCCTACTGTTCTGCTCCTATGCTGGACTAATGAAGACGGGCATACGCCATACAGTATGCGATGAGGGAAATTTTTCCCGGGCAGCGGCACTATCGCCTACTCTTATATCGAATTCCAACTGCCAAGTGATCTTTTACGTGCATTCCAATGTATGCACGGGACCTCGGTTTTTCGTCTCATCCGAAGGACTAGACAGCTGTCCTTGTCAGGCCCTCCGTCCTGCATCACTGACAAGGGGGAACCACGCCGGAAAATCTGGATGAACTTTCTCTGGATAACGGTTACAATATCAATACGCTGTAGCAATGTTGTCACGTGGTAAGCCAGTCGTAGAGACATGAAATAAATTATTGGGATGAGTTTGTAGTTGCTTGGAAATTTATCGGTGGGTTTCCCTTGAACTTGCTGCTGGTGTGACTTAGCATTTGATTTACTAGCAGGCTTCAATAGAAATGATGCGTATCGATGAACTAAATCGCTTGTTAGTTTTATGGCATTTTGGATAACAAAAACTATTGAGAATTGTCACTGTGTTTTGGGAATTTATAAAACATGATTAAGATGAATAAACGGAACATAGCGATGCACGGTCCGTGAAAATGATGCGTATCGATGAACTAAATCGCTTGTTAGTTTTATGGCATTTTGGATAACAAAAACTATTGAGAATTGTCACTGTGTTTCGGGAATTTATAAAACATGATTAAGATGAATAAACGGAACATAGCGATGCACGGTCCGTGTTACAAACTAATCTAGGCTGTAAATTATTGTCGAATTCTAAAAGTATTTAACAACTTTAAAACTAATCCACCAAATATCCATTGTTCCAATGCCGAAATTTAAAATGTAATCGATAATGCCAAAGTGCCACAGTCCTTATAGAATAATGTCTATCTATCTTACTCAATTAAAATGATTTTTTTCCAAATGAAAATACCGTTGGCTCTTTTTAAAAGCTTCTCGCTTTGTGTGTGTGTGTGTGTGTGTGTGTGTGAGAGAGAGAGAGAGAGAGAGAGAGAGAGATGGGGTTTAACGTCCACTCGACACAAACTAGGTCATTTCGGGACTAACATGGTTTAATTTTATTTCAATAAACCCACGAGGCTGGACAGGCGACCCTATACACCTTGTCACGTACAACCGGGGATTCGAAACCACGCCAGTTGACTCAATGACAGGCCTTATGATACCATTCGCCACACCCCACCTTCTCGCTTCGTACTTCTCTGATTTATGTTATGTTATTAACGTAAGCCATCATAATAAATTTAAGATATTAAAATTTTATTTCAAACAGACCTATAACATTTTTCAATAAACTTCATAAATAATCTTAAACCAAGACCACGTGAGAGTAATGGCATGTCATGTATTGTATTAAATCATTATACACGGAGATATTATTTTTTATAGACAAGAGTGCTCGTCTTTCTATGACGTAAGATATTAAGTGAGTTCACATTTTCTTTAGTGTTTTTTATTTGTTGGTTTTTTTTCTCTGTTTATTTAAAAATAGTTTCATGTATACTTGACGCATATGGTAATATATAAAACAGTAACAAAGATTTTACCGGGGTTTTGAGTGTTTTTTTCTTTTTTCGGGCGTCATTCAGTTGCTTAAATTGTCTTACAATAAAATACACGAATGGACCGTAGCTGTATTTCCTATGCCACGAACAAAAATTAAATGAGAATTGTGTCTGTGAATGATAATATGTTACAATTATGTGACCGGGTTGTCATTAGCCAGAGTTTCATCATTATTCCCAACAGATCTAAAAACTAAGCCCTAATCAAGAGGCTGTCCTAAGTTAAAATTGATTTTAGTTAAAATTGTCCGTAAAATAGTTTTGGAAACACCACTCTTATCATTGAAGATATAATTTGGAGGGATTTGTAACCACGAGGGCTGATAGACCTTATGGTCGTAGGCGCATTCGTTGAGCCGTCGCCCCCCCCCTCCCTACAATAGTCACATGAAATCTAATCTTTTTGTTTAGTGAAGAGAGGAGTATTCCCCTTTTTACTACAACCAGCGCATGGACAGTCCTTCACAGTAAACCATCCCTTTAAACATGCCTGTGTCGTAAATTTGTAAACGAATACGTGTTTTTATGCAAGGGACCTACTTCAGGTGTAAAATAACCCTGACAATGACTTAAGCATCTATTAGCCAATGAAAAGTTTCGCTACATGATTAAAACAGCCCCTTTCTAACAGAGTTGATGCAGGAGAGTGGGGTTTATATATATATAGTCTTCAAGTTATTAGTCATTCATCACCAGGAAGGCTCACTGAGACACCAGCGTTCATCTACAAGGTCTGTACTATTGTAATCATCACCAGTAGAACTAGCAGAGAGACCCACTCACATCTACAAGGTCTGTACTGTTTTCATGGCAATTTGATGTTTGATTATGATTCAGCTTTTTACCCGCGATGCCCAGTGCCGGAGTTCCACTAGGGGAAGATGGAAATATGCTTAAAACACAAGTGAGCAAAGACGAGAATATTGACTGTTCATAACATCGTTTAAATAACATTTCTTGATTTTTGTTAATGATGTTTTTATTTCCACCCCAATACAGTATAAGTTAGATGGGAGTCGCGATGGACCAGTGAGTAAGACGTTGACTGGCTCACCAGGAGGTCTCGGTGTCTGACAAGGACAGTGTCTAGTCGTTCGGGGGTACAATTTGGATACACGTTAAAGAAAACTTAGGAGTAAGAAATAGAGAGAGAAATGGGGTTTAACGTCCACTCGACACAAACTAGGTTATTTCGGGACTAACATATGGTTTAATTTTATTTCAATAATTCGCTTGTGTGTAGGGGTCTTTAGCAGTGGGAGAAGACCTCAGGACCCGGACAAAATTTCGGTCATAGCACACTGTATGGCACACGTCTTCATTCACCAAGTCGATGTATGAATGTAGAAAGATAAAAACTGTTCCATATGCATATATAGTATACTGAAGAAATGAACCGAGCTGTGGAGGTAATTGTGACCGGACAATTGTATTTTCAACTGTCGGGAGATTTGGTTTGTTTGTTCGTCCCATCCGAACGACTAGACCTTCCGTAAAAGGAAGTATGTATACTACTGCATGGGAAGATGGAGCCCGTTTTCACAACATCGTGTAGGCAAGGATACAAAAAACAAACTCTTGTAAAACTCTTTAGTGAAGGGTATTTGAACTACAGGGGCAGGGACCATAACTGGATGCACAACTCTGAATGTGAATGCTGAAGAGTATTTCTACCCGCTGTGATATTAGTGATTTACTTACTTCTTCAGTGGTTTAAACCATATCTTAGGGCCATATTCAGTCAGTTCTTATTGGTAGAGAATTATCGAGGAGAATTCCATAACTTATGGAATACCACAAGGATATGTATAAGGTCCGTTACTTATACCAACAAGCTCTCTGATTTAATTGATCAATCGGACTTCTTACATCACGCACATCAAGTCATTGATGACATAAAGTATGCTTAAATAAAACTAAGACCCATATTGTCTACTGATTGTTGGATTTTACTTTAAAGAAACATTATGGGAGATTAGATAAAGAGCTGGTAGTTCTCACTATGATAGTTAAAAACTAGATAATATAAAGGGAATATGCTGAAAATTTTAGTCAAATTGCTCCAATCTGAACCGAGATATTAGCGATTGAATTTTAGGCCTAGCCTCGATCATCATTACTAAAGTCGATACGATAAAAATAAAACAACATAATCTCGATTATCCATTTTTGCATTTAATCATCGATGAGCGTTGAGCAGCAGTTCGGATTCAAATCCAGTGAAAATCGAATAATAAGATGGCATCGAGAGCTGATTAAGGTCTGGATAAGTTAATTAATGTCTAATTAATAGTTTATATAACATTTCAAGCCTAAAGAAAGACCTGCAATAGGCAGATTTGGCTCTTGCATAATGTATGTTTAACTTATTCCTGTGTCAACATTCCAAAGATAGTTTACTAAATGAGAACTCTGTATATCCAACAGCAAGGGGTTGATTTTAGATAGTATTAAACTATGTATAATAGTATAAGATATAACGTTAATTAGGCAAAATGGCTGATTTAAACATGCATTGTGCAAGAGCTAAATCTGCCTATTGCAGGCTTTTGTTTTGGCTTCAAATGTCATATAAATAAAGTAATATAAATGAAATTTTCAATATATTCATTTTTAGCTATTTTTGAACACTTTAAAGCGGCACTTTCAATAACAGGAATACCATAGATTTTTGTGAAATGTAAGTGAACATTCGCCAGTTGTTTTAGAGTGGCCCTTTATCCTAAGTTATTGTTTAGAAATAATTTACCTTTAAGTTTCAAATGACCTCGCAACTACAGTTCTCGCAAATGGGGTTAAAATTTCAAGATTCTTGCACTCAATGGAATACTTCTCAGATATTTTTCTTAGGGTCATCTTCGTCAATCTTGTAATTTAATCATCAGCAGCGTCTTAATTCTCTTGTTGTTTTCTTGTACTTATAAAAGAAAGAGTGTTTTGTAAGTTTATATAATTTTTACTTTATGATAATAAATATGTTTGAACATTTATAGCAATAGAACGGTCAGCTGTTTTTCTGAATCTTAAATAATGCTTCTTTCAAGAGTTCTATTTTTTGCACACAAACGCGTACACGGGACGTTGGGTGTTAGTCCATCTGAATGACCCACCACCACCCACCCCACACTAACCTACACATTTGACAAGGGAAAACCATTCCGGAAAGTTTATCGGCGAACACTGTGGTCGAACACAGGTTAACAAGTTTAGTGTTGGGTTTTTCACTTGAACAAACCTACTCTGTCTTACTATTTTCAGATTTCATCATGTGGAGAAGTCTACTGTTAACTGGATTACTGTCCATGATAGCTTGTTCTGAAGCATTTTTTTACTGGAGACGATATCATAAACGACCGTTCATTGGTAACCGCATCAGTTTCTATTTTTTAATAATTAAAACTTGTGCCTTTACAACCAACAGTTATTGTATATTGTAATCATTACAACCAACAGTTATTGTATATTGTAATGATTGCAACCAACAGTTATTGTATAGTGTAATCATTACAACCAATAGTTGTTGTATAGTGTAATCATTACAACCAATAGTTATTGTATAGTGTAATCATTACAACCAATAGTTATTGTATAGTGTAATCATTACAACCAATAGTTATTGTATAGTGTAATCATTACAACCAATATTTATTGTATATTGTAATCATTGCAACCAATAGTTACTGTATATTGAATTTATTGCAACCAATAGTTATTGTATATTGTGTATATTGTAATCATTACAAGCAATAGTTGTGGTATAGTGTAATCCTTGCAACCAATCTATAGTAGCTTCGTACTTTCATCCTATATCCATTCCTTCGTCGCCTTCTTTAGAATGTTTACTGACCACACTTCGTTAATTTAGGAGAGAGAGTGAGAAATGGGGTTTAACATCCACTCGACACAAACTAGGTCATTTCGGGACTAACGTATGGTTTAATTTTATTTCAATAATTCGCTTGCGCGTAGGGGTCTTTAGCAGTGGGAGGAAACCGGGGGACCCGGAGAAAACCAGGCGACCCTACTCCTTGTCACGTACAGTCGGGGAATCAAAACCACGCCAGTTGACTCAATGACAGACTTTATGATACAGGAATAACAAGTTTCGTTCACAATGCTACATCAAAATATAAGCGACTCTGTTGGGGAAATATTCGAATCTGTCGGCGAAATAATCAACTGAGTTCGGGAAATAATCGACTACACGTTTCCCTGACGATACAACTGATTAATAAACCAATCAAATGCCTTACGGTTAATCTTTGGAAAATAATTTATGGATATTAAAAGCTTGTCACGGATCAAAATACCATGCCTGTTCATCCCCACCAAACTACATTGAAATTTATATTCCGTATTTGTTCATGTTATTAGATGGAGATGGTGGAAAGCATATTATGTCTTTGACGATGTGTTTGGCTCACATGTCTGGTATGAACAACAAGTTTAAAATGGTGGACACTTCACCAGTAACGGATGAAAGGTAAGGGCAAGTATCTAGTCTTTCGGATGGGACGATAAACCGAAGGGTAGGACAATTTCCCTGCCATGTCACACTCTAGGGTGTACTCCAGTTTGCCATAGACCGGTTGGCGCAGAAAAGTAGGAAGTTAAACCCCATTTTCATGTTGTCACCGAGTATGGTTCGCAAAAATATATGAAATAAACCATAAATTCGAAGTGTGTCCGGATGTACAAACAATGTTAGGCTCCAAATGATCACTCAACCATACGGCTGCCCCCACCCCCCAAGGGTCCATTCCATTTTTTTGATGTCACTCATACGGCTGGCCCCCGGACCTACTTACTTGATTTGATGTCAATCACACGGCTGGCCCCCGGACCTTCTTACGCTGGCCCCCAGACCTACCTACTTGATTTGATGTCACTCATACGGCTGACCCATTGACTTTATTGGATATTTATTGTTTATTTCTTGCAATTAAGTTCATTATGTTTACTCTAAAGGTGACCTTTACTTAAAGATACATTATGGGAGATTCGATAACTATGTGGCAGTTCTCACTATAATAGTTAAAAACTAAATAATGTAAAGGCAATTTGCTGAAAACTTCATTCAAATTGATCCACTATGAACCGAGAACTAAGCGATTGAAAATCTGGATAAGTTTATTAATGTCTAATTAATAATTTAGATAACATTTCAGGACTAAAGAAAGACCTGCAATAGACAGATTTAGCTCTTGCATAATGTATGTTTAAGTACGTATATGTTATTATGTATCTTTTAGCTCTGGGTTAACCACAAAACACTGTAAGAACAATGGTGTCAAATACCGTACAATTAACGGTGTCTGTAACAATATTTTTCGACCGTCAGAGGGAGAAGCACTTGCACGATTTAAACGTTACGTCAAACCCAATTATAGAGATGGTAAGTTTAGACAATTATAGAGATGGTAAGTTTAGATAATTGTGGAGATGGTAAGTTTAGACATTACTAGAGGTGGTAAGTTTAGACATTTATAGAGGTGGTAAGTTTAGACATTAATAGAGGTGGTAAGTTAAGACATTTATAAAGATGGTAAGTTTAGAAATTAATAGTGATGGTTAGTTTAGACATTTATAGAGGTGGTAAGTTTAGATATTAATAGAGATTTAGACATTTATAGAGGTGGTAAGATTAGAAATTAATAGATATGGTAAGTTTAAACATTAATAGAGGTGGTAAGTTTAGAAATTAATAGAGATGGTAAGTTTAGACATTACTAGAGGTGGTAAGTTTAGACATTTATAGAGGTGGTGAGTTTAGACATTATTTGAGGTGGTAAGTTTAGACATTTATAAAGATGGTAAGTTTAGAAATTAATAGTGATGGTAAGTTTAGACATTAAGATCGGTGGTAAGTTTAGATATTAATAGAGATGGTAAGTTTAGACATTTATAGAGGTGGTAAGTTTAGACATTAATAGAGATTTAGACATTTATAGAGGTGGTAAGATTAGAAATTAATAGATATGGTAAGTTTAAACATTAATAGAGGTGGTAAGTTTAGAAATTAATAGAGATGGTAAGATTAGACATTTACAGGGGGGGTAAGATTAGAAATAAATAGAAGTGGTAAGTGTAGACATTTATAGAGATGGTAAGTTTAGAAAATTATGGAGATGGTAAGATTAGTCGTTTACATAGGTGGTAAGTTTAGACATTTATTGTTATTTGTGTTCTTTCTATGATCCTATGATTTGATTTTATTTACTTTATCATTATTGCCAGTTCACCATATACGCATTTTCGCAGGTTTTTTTAAAAAAAAAAAAAAGTCGCTCTAATTCAAATGTAATGGGACCGTTTATTATAAAAACGCGCGAGGAAACGTGGTGAAAACGTGTACATTGAAAATGTATGCTTCGAAAACGGGTACATCGAAAACGTGTACATCGAAAAGGCGTACGTCTAAAACGGGTACATCGAAAACGTGTACATCGAAAACGTGTACATCGAAAACGGTTTAAGTGTCCTAACATACATCTGTTCATGCCATACCATTGTTTACACGTGGGGACCAAAGTGGATTAGTGAGTAAGACGCTGGCTCGCTAGCCTGGTGGTCACTGGTTCGATCTCGGTGTTGGCCGAAAAAGTTCATCGGGATTTTCCGGCGTGGTTTCCTCTTGTCGGTTGTACACTCCTGACAAGCTGTCTAGTCATTCGGATAGGACGAAAAGCCGAGGTCCAGTGTACACACTGGTGTGCACGTAAAAGATTCCTTGGCAGTATCGGTGCAAGATGGAGAGCCTGACAAGAAAAGTGTCTAGTCGTACCCGTAAAACAACCCTTGCGAGTTAGAAATATGAGTAGGCCTTGGTGCCACTGTCCGGTACAATTGTCCCTCACAACATAGCTGCATGGCTGCATGGCGTATGCCCGTCTTCATTAGCCCACTCTGTGGAAACAAGTAGGATGGTAGAGCTCATTTAAGTTTATTTTATGTAGACAAAGAAACATACATAAAATATCTATAACTATATTCTAACTAGTCTCAGTTCAGACCCAAGTTCTACTTGCTATTTCTTCTGTTTCTTCTCCAGGAATTGGCGCCCCTAGAATATACTCCGTGGAAAAAAAATGTTACTGGTATTATCGTTGCTACAACTTACTTCTACCTAGTGCTAGAACCGTGAGCTGCGCTATCCACCCGTCACGTAAAGTCCCGTCTAAACACTCGGTGATGCTTATGCAATGGGGGCAATTTCTGGACCACGATATAACTGCCACAGCCGTTCAACAACGTAAGTAAAAGTCTCAAATCATTATGTCATTCTTTTTCTGCATTAGTCGAGGCGCTCGGCGTATTCCGGGGATCTCCGGGATCTCAGTTCACACGGCAGTAACCACGATGAATCCAGGTAACGTCGAGTCTACAATATCACTCAAAGTGAAAGCGAACGTAAAACCCTACGAACAAACGAACGAACAGTGAGTCGTGACATATGTGGGTGTCGCGTCACCGTATCAAATGGCGACCCATTGTTTGAGAGATCTTAGGAAATAGTTTGTTCACCAGATAAGTTCTACATGCGAGAGACTGTATCCATTCGTTCGATTGGATCGATAGTTTTGACAGTGATTGGATTGGATCCACACGCTGGTCAGTGATTTGCGTATGCACCCAATCAAAATGCTTGGTTCATGTGAAGCTTTACATGCGATTGACTGTAGACCTATCCAGTCGTATCCTAAAACAGATTTTAAGATGGACTAGAAATTATTTGCCCATTGACTTCTTTGTTAAATGGCTGTAACATCACAGGCTGTAGATTTTTGTTCAAAATTCAGTTGGTTCCAATCTTTATAGGCACAATGGGGACCACATTTGGCAATATCCTCATCATTGACCATTTAGATTTTTTTACTATGGGGATTTGATGTTGACTGGGGTGAAAATCTCACTTCCGACACAATGATTGCTCTGCAGAAAGACACTTTACACCCGCTATCCCTCCGCTGTAATATCATCAGTATTTCCCAAAACTGCTATGAAATTGCAAATTTGATCCCTTTTCTCCAATTCTAGACCAAAAAGTCAACCCAAAAATGCAGAAAGAGGGAAGAAAAAAAATTAAGGGAAAAATTGTCTATTTATAACTCGCACTAGTCTTAGTCCAGATAGGGATGTGGGAATGATCTCCCTTGGATATATTTTCGGGACTGAACGTTTTTATAGTTCAAAATTTCGTTTTACTTGTCTTTACTACACTAGGATCCGGAAGAGTTGTTATATCACCGGCATTTCGGTTGAGATGAGAGATTAGCCAATAAAACGGTGTGTTAGGACGAATTCTTGCCCTCTTGATGCACTGAACTGCGGGTAAAGCACTAGAAACGTCAACGCTGGCTGATTAATCAATGTCAAAAGCCGCTCGTTTGACCCCCTGACGTCAACGCTCACTATAACTTGTCAGATCTTCATGTAGTGTAGGCCATCGAAAGTAAAAAAAAACGAAACGAAATTTAGATCTTTATTTTAATCAGGTTGGTAGGTAAATGTATCATGAAGTGAATAAATACAGCTTATTATAGCGGTTGTCGTCCATATCAGAAGGTCTATCAAGGCATGTCTAACCTTGTGGGTCTTTCTTAGGGGTCTCGGGTTCCACCGACTGTGAATTGTTACACTTAAGAACAACTAAAGAACCCAAGACGGAACATCATCAGAAATAGACAAAGTTTTGGGGGTTAACGTCCACTTGACACACACATCAGGTAATTTCTTGACTAACTTGTGGTTCAATATGTTTTTCAATAACTGGATTGGGCGTAGTGTGTCTTTAGCAGAAAATGCACGATATTACACAGGCGAACTTACTCCTTGTCACGTACTAGTGGGGAATCGAAACCACCCCGCTGGCTCAGTGACATGCCTTGATTTACACTTCGAACCAGAAATAAACTTCTATACACCATATAATAGTACCATGTGATTATTGTTGTCTTACAGCTGATATGTCTAAACCTGGTGATGATTGCTGCAAACATCATTATATTCAACTTAACAAACTTCATCCTGATTCCTTAGAAAGGTAATCTTCCTACATCCTCATCTTTGTCTTATTGTTTTTCTACATATAGTTGACTCTCTCTCTCTCTCTCTCTCTCTCTCTCTCTCTCTCTCACCCCCACTCTCTCCCTCAGTGAGGTCATATTGTGTAGTATAATATATTGTTTTGAACTTCGGCTATGATTCAGGAATAAAAGATGTTTTCCCATACCTATCGTGCAGTGGCCGGTTGCAGATCCCGCCTTTAGGTCCAACTGTTTTAACTTCGTCCGATCTCGACCAGTCAACCCTAAGTTCAGTAAGTAATTGTTCTATATTTATAACAGGATGGTTCTACCCTCCACCATCCCCGTCTCCGATCCGCCAGCACATCTATTACTCATTAACGTATACTTTATCCCCTAGACTAGTCCTTCGGATGAGACGAAAAACCGAGGTCCCGTGTATATATTGGAATGCACGTAAAAGATCCCTTGGCAGTTGGAATTCGATATAAGAGTAGGCGATAGTGCCGCTGCCCGGGCAAAATTTCCCTCATAGCACACTGTATGGCGTATGCCCGTCTTCATTAGCCCAGTTTAGGAGCAGAACAGTAGGACGTTAAACCCCATTTCATTTCATTTCATTTATCCCCTAGACTGATCCCCATATAGACGTAACGAACGCCCCCCCCCCGGCGAAGCACACCTATCCCTCCCTCTATATACACACTGTAGTCATGCACCAATATATTAATAACACCCCCACCCCTCATAAACAGATATCCCTCCCCCACTACCAGTTGATGGACAGAAGGTTGATCTCCTCCCAACCCGCCCCTTACACAGGTATTCATAAACAAATACCCCCCACCACTCACGCCCACCCAAGCCCGCCCCACCCACAACACCGGGATAGTAAATCCTAAATGGTTATACATCTGAATTCAGCTAAACGAATAAACTTAATTGTTCATCCTAAATGGATCTAATATATCTTTATTCAGCTAAATGGGATCCACGAGAACAACAGAATTTATTGACAGCTTTTATCGATGGTTCCAATGTTTATGGTAGTAATGAGGAAACTTTACAGAGGTTGCGAGACTCAAATGGTAAGCTATAAACTAGGGTTTTCTGGTTTAACTTTAAAATGGCCAAACCTCGTTGAATTGCCCCCATCCCCACCACCCCGGTAATTGACGATTTCTGTGGATGTTAATTGTCAGGTTGTTTTCTGAGGAGACAATCTGCCTTTGTTAAAAATGTTACACCTCTAGCTATATAAAACATCTCTAGCTAAATGTTACACCTCTATAGCTAAATGTTACAACTCTAGCTATATGTGACATATATAGCTAAATGTTATACCTCTATAGCTAAATGTTACAACTCTAGCTATATGTGACATATATAGCTAAGTGTTACACCTCTATAGCTAAATGTTACAACTCTAGCTATATGTGACATATATAGCTAAATGTTACATCTCTATAGCTAAATGTTACAACTCTAGCTATATGTGACATATATAGCTAAATGTTACACCTCTATAGCTAAATGTTACAACTCTAGCTATATGTGACATATATAGCTAAATGTTACACCTCTATAGCTAAATGTTACAACTCTAGCTATATGTGACATATATAGCTAAATGTTACACCTCTATAGCTAAATGTTACAACTCTAGCTATATGTGACATATATAGCTAAATGTTACACCTCTAGCTATATGTGACATCAATAGCTAAATGTTACAACTCTAGCTATATGTAACATCTATAGCGTAGAAACCACGCCAGTTGACTCAGTGACAGACCGTATCATACAGCGCGCACGTGCTAACCATTCGGCCATCCAGCCCCCCCATATATGTATGAGTTGTGCATTGTTTATAATATTTGTTATAAATATATGTATGATTTATGCATTGTTTATGACATTCGACATTAGAGCACCACCAGAGAAAAAACAGTGTAAATTGTGTATTTTTGACTGGTTTTCATGGATTAATTTAAGAAGCAAATCGGTTATGATTTTTCCCCATTTTCATGAAAGTGTCTGTTTCTTAGAGAATATTGAATAAATTAATGAATGAATAAATAAATTATATGTATTTTACAGGGAAAATGAAGACATCGTCTGGTGATTTGTTGCCACCAGGCAAGGACGACTCTTGTGTTCTTCCTAAAGATAAATTCTGTTTCGATGCTGGTGAGTTTATCATCATCATGATCATCATCATCATCATCATCATCATCATCAACAACTTCTTCTTCTTCTCCTTCTTCTTCTTCTTAAAGTTAAACACATTCCAAATTTAATTTTAATATAAAACTCTTTGATAAGGTTGACCCATACCACAGATTTGAAGAATCAGAAAGTGACTCAAGACAGAGGGTGAATGAATACAGACCTTGCTATTTACGTATCGAAAGGGTTCATGTATATTGATATATTTTACACGGTCAAAGGGTGAATGAATACAGATATTGCCACTTATTTTTGTACAGTGATATGGTCATAAATATTTGTGCGGGGCTGAACGGGTTAATGTTAAATTTTCATATATTTTAGGTGATGAAAGGGTTAATGTTTTCCCTGAACACAGATATTGCCACTTATTTTTGTAGGCGTGAAAAAGTTAATGTATAAGTGATATTGTCACAAATATTTGTGTGGAGGAGCGAAAGGGTTATTGATAAATGTTTATATATTTTAGGAGATGAAAGGGTTAATGTTTTCCCTGGTTTAACAGCTTTACACACAGTCTTCGTCAGACTTCACAATTATATCGTAACTGATTTTACCAAACATAACCGTCGGTGGGATGCAGAAAGGTTGTTTCAGGAAGCACGAAAAATTGTCGGTGCCATTCTACAGGTAAGTTGATTTAAAAATGAAGCATAAAAATCACATCGTAGGTGTCTAGATTCGCTGTAATATATCAGATGTCGAAACGTGGATCTAAAATATGTATTAGCCATAGGTCTAATATGTGTAATAGTCGTAGGTCTAATATGTGTATTAGTCATAGGTCTAATATGTGTATTAGCCATAGGTCTAATATGTGTATTAGCCATAGGTCTAATATGTGTAATAGTCGTAGGTCTAATATGTGTATTAGCCATAGGTCTAATATGTGTATTAGCCATAGGTCTAATATGTGTATTAGTCGTAGGTCTAATATGTGTAATAGCCGTAGGTCTAATATGTGTAATAGCCGTAGGTCTATTATGTGTAATAGCCATAGGTCTAATATGTGCATTAGCCATAGGTCTAATATGTGTATTAGCCGTAGGTCTAAAATATGTATTAGTCATAACTCTAACGCTAGCCTGGTGGTCGGGTGTTCAGTCCCTGCATTGGCCGAAAAAGTCCATCCAGATTTTCCTACGTGATTCCCCCTTGACAGCTGTCTAGTCGTTCGAGTGGACGAAAAACCGAGGTTCCGTGTAGAAATTGGAGTGCATGTTAAAGATTCCTTGACAATTGGAATTCGATATAGTGTAGCCCGTAGTGCCGCTGTTCGGGCAAAGTTTCTCTTATAGAACATTGTATGGCGTATGCCCGTCTTCATTAGCCCAGTTCGGAGCAGAACAGTAGGACGTTAAACACCATTCCATTACATTTTATTCCATAAGTCTCACATATTATGTATTTGCCATTCGTCTACGATGTGTATTAGAGGTCTACGATGTGTATTAGAGGTCTACGATGTGTATTAGAGGTCTGCGATGTTTATTAGCCATTGGTCTAAGATATGTATTAGTCACAGGTGAGAAAAGTAGGAAGTTAAACCCCGTTTCATTTCATTCATTCATCATATATTCTTTTAAACAGAGAATCACCTACACGGAATTTTTACCCGAACTTTTATCCGATGCCACCATGAAAGAGTACAAACTAGAGGAGAGCAACGACTACAAGTACCAAAGCAGGATTAATCCAAGTATTGCGAGCGTTTTCGCCACGGCAGCGTTTAGATATGGCCATTCTCTAATTCCCGATTTTCTGGTAATTGATGGTAAACAAGTAAAAAGCCGTCTTCTCTTCAATAATCCACAGTTTATCTTCACCAGTTTGAAATCGGTGGTGGAGAATATTCTTTCCAACGAAGCAGAGCTGAGAGATCGTTTTATGTCTTCGGAGACCACTGAACATTTGTTTGAACAGGACAAGGGTGGACCGTTTGATTTGGCGGCCTTTAACATCCAGCGAGGGCGAGATCACGGTCTACCATCATATAACGCATTTAGAAAATTATGTAATCTTAGTCCAATTAAACACCTCACCTCGCCGCTTAGCGACGTTTACGGGTAAGTAAGCGACGACATTTTAAATTTCTTTCAAATAACATCGACGTCAGCATTATTCGAATCATTCAAACATTCATGTTATTTACCCAAGTTTACAAATTACATCGACGTCAGTATTGTATTAACCATTCAAACACTCAGCCCTGATTAAGACTGAACTCTCTAGAATTTGGCGATTCTGAATCATTGTCTTAGACGTAGGCTGATTGATGCCATTCTACTGACTCATCGGATAACACGATTATGATATACACATTATATTTACATACTGTTAATTATAGTAGAACAAAGGGTGTATATTGATTGAAATAGATTTCTTCCTTGGTTCTAGAAATTAATAAATGTGGATCGTCCCCCGTTGAGACTCGAATACACGCCGAATCGTCTCTAAAGTATACCTAAAAACATTCTCTTCCTGGGCCTTGTATTCCCCGGTGTTTCTCTCCCTGGGCCCTGCATGCCCCTGGGTGTTTCTCTTCCTAGGCCGTGTATGCCCTCGGTGTTTCGCTCCCTGGGCCTTGTATGCCCTCGGTGTTTCTCTCCCTGGGCCGTGTATGCCCTCGGTGTTTCGCTCCCTGGGCCTTGTATGCCCTCGGTGTTTTTCTCCCTGGGCCCTGTATGCCCCGGGTGTTTCTCTCCCTGGGCCCTGTATGCCCTCGGTGGTTCTCTCCCTGGGCCCTGTATGCCCTCGGTGGTTCTCTCCCTGGGCCGTGTATGCCCTCGGTGTTTCGCTCCCTGGGCCTTGTATGCCCTTGGTGTTTTTCTCCCTGGGCCCTGTAAGACCCGGGTGTTTCTCTCCCTGGGCCTTGTATGCCCTGGGTGTTTCTCTCCCTGGGCCCTGTATGCCCTCGGTGGTTCTCTCCCTGGGCCTTGTATAACCTGGGTGGTTCTCTACCTGGGCCCTGTATGCCTCCGGGTGTTTCTCTACCTGGACCATGTATGCCCCCGGTGTTTCTCTTCCTGGGCCTTGTATGCCCTCGGTGTTTCTCTTCCTGGGGCCTGTATACCCCTCCCCCCCGCGGTTTCCGATAGTTGTGATTTGATTGGGATCCATGTTTTTGTGTTGTAGACATGTTGATGATGTTGATGTATTCGCCGGTGGTATGGTTGAGAAGAACTTAGCAGGTTCAGAACTTGGTGCCCTCTTCAATTGTATCTTGGGCATGCAGTTCAGAGATTTGAAATTTGGAGACAGCTTTTGGTATGAAACAAAGGACAGTGGCCGAGGTTTCACCGCCGGTGAGTGTAGTTAGTGTATTTTAAACAAGTTTGTGCTTTCGCTTATGATACGAAAAGGTCTGGAATTATAGAACCCCTTTCCTAAGTGGAGAACGTTGCCTTCAAAATAGAATGGTTAGGATAGTCCGAGGAAGTTGGTCCACTTCCGTCTTAAATCGTAATCTGAGAGTGTTGTTTCTTCAACCAAGAACTTTTGAGAGCCCTTGAGAACAATAGTTCGATATGTTATTTGTGGTTATTGAATGTGGTTTGTGAGAGTGTTGATTCGTCAACCAAGAACTTTTGAGAGCCCTTGAGAACAATAGTTCGATATGTTATTTGTGGTTATTGATTGTGGTTTGTGAGAGTGTTGATTCTTCAACCAAGAACTTTTGAGAGCCCTTGAGAACATTAGTTCTATATGTTATTTGTGGTTATTTGTTCTGTTTCAGCTCAACTAAAAGCCATCAAAAAAGTATCCTTGTCGCAGATCCTGTGTCAGGTGCTGGACTTGGCGGAAATTCAGCCAAATGCCTTCCGAATTGAAACTGATCAGTAAGTTATAGCGTTACACTAAAACGACTGGAAAGGTTAACGAGATAACAATTCGGATATTGGTCACCTGCTACTTTTACGTTAAACATACATTATACAAGAGCTAAATCTACCAATTGCAGGTCTTTCTTTAGGCCTAACGTATTAATTAGACATTAATTAACTTATCCAGACCATAATCAACTCTCAGTGTCATCGGTAGCCTACGATATTTACTGGATTAGGATCCGATCTGCTGCTCAACGCTCATTCATGATTAAATCAAAAAATGGATAATCGAGACTGTGTTTTTTATCGTACCGAATTAAGTATTGATAATTGAGGCTAGGTCCAAAATTCAATCGCTAAAATCTCGGTTCATTTTCATCAAATTGCCTTTACATTATCTAGTTTTTAACTATTATAGTGAGAACTGCCAGCTCTTTATCTTTACCAAATTTAAATAATTGAAATGTCTACAAAGATAAAGAAGCATACGAAAACCCCACTAAAGTACACCCCCTACCCCTTTCACATTACACAAGTGGGAGTTTCAATTAATTGCAGCAGCTGTGTGTTGTCAAATGGTTTAGGTTATTGCTACTTTACTCGATAAGTCGTATAAGGATTAGCCCTTTTCATTAATCCGGTCTGTGTAGAACAGTAGTGTAACAAACTCCCATTTCTTTTCATGGTCCGGTACAGTATCGTTATAAAATCTCTATGTTATGAAGTTAGGAGCTTTGGGTGGCCGAATGGTTGTATCATAAGATCTGTCATTAAGTCAAATGGCGTGGTTGCGATTCCCCGCTTGTTCGTGACAAGGAGTAGGGTTGCCTGTCCAACCTCGTGGGTTTTCTCCGAGTCTTCCAGTTTCCTCCCACTGCTAAAGACCCCCACGCACCAGCGAATTATTGAAATAAAATTGAACCATGTGTTAGTCCCGAAATGCCCCAGTTTGTATCGAGTGGATGCTAAAACTCATTTCTCTCACCCTCTCTAGGTTTAGATTTCGTTTTACTTTCTGGGAAACACGGTGGCTAAGTGGGTAAGACGCTGGCTCGCTAGCCTGGAGGTCGGGTATTCGATCCTTGCATTGGCCGAAGAAGTTCATTGGGATTTTCCGACGTGGTTTCCCCTTGTCAGTGGTGTAGGGTGATTGCTTAACAAGGACAGTTTTCTTGCCGTTCGAATGGCACGTTAAAGATCCCTTGGCATTTGGAATTCGATATAAAGGTAGGCCATGGTGCCGCTTCCCGCCAAGAATTTCGTTCATAGTACACTGTAAGGTGCTTGCCCGTCTTCATTAGCCCAGTCGCAGCAGAGCATTAGGACAGTAAACCCCATTTCATTTCATCTGTTTTATTTTCTATTTATAGAAACAAGAAAACCAAGTGTAACACACTGAAAGGTTTGGATCTATCACCATGGTACGAACATTAAACCTCCCTACATCAATAACATTATCGACGACAACATCAACCACCTGGTCTACATTTGTATCTGTTTAGTGCTTGTAGTTAATAACGCGTAATTATCTATTATTTGTGTTATATGGAATGTATGGGGGCGTAGGAGGGGGCGTGGGGGATAACGTATTCGCTAACAATATATATTCTTTTTATATTCTTTGTGTGATGCAAAACCGTTTGGGTGGGGTAGGGGGGGGGGGCTTATAGAATTAAGCGGCGCGGGGTTTAGGTCCCAAACTTGTACGTGATATGGCGTAGAGTCGCCTGCCTAACCTCGTTTCTCGGGGGATTTTCCCGATCCCGGGTCCCACTGTTTCCCGCGGTGCTAAAGACACCAACGCGCAAGTATGTTAGTCCCGTAATGCCCCCCCCCCCCTCTCTCTCCCTCTCGTGTTATGAGGAGGGACATTTGCCTACTCCCCGTCAAGGGGTTCTTTACGTGCACATCAGCGACTTCATTATCCCTCTTGGTGAAAGACATCGTTAAACCCCGTTTCATTTCGTTTCAGTTACTTTAACACCCACATATATTATGTAAACAATTTTAATCATATTCAGGCTTTTTATTTTACTCAAATGTAAATTGATCATCTTCCATGTCACCCTGGACTACCTGGTGTCAATCAATCTTTGTATAAACTGGACTACCTGGTGTCAATCAATCTATTTATAAACTAGGGGGTTGTCTTATTACACTGCTTCTTATTTTACACCTGAATTTTTAAACGTCAAAGTCACCCACGTTCTCTTATTGCCATGTACAATGGCAGTTGTTATAATAAAATTAATCCAAACGGTTACGCTCTATCTCGTTCAGAGCAATAACGTTGAAATAAAACCAAGCCGGATTTGAACACGAAATAAAGCTTAAATGTTTAAATTTGATCATGGAAAACATTGAGAATCATAATTGAATATCTTTCAGTAATAAATAAACATACACAAGATTTGTAATAAACAACTCAATTATTCTTCATGTATAATAAACAACTCAACTGTACTTTGTAATAAACAATCAAAATGTACATCATTTGTAATAATAATAAACAACATTTCTAATAAACAAACGTAATTCATTTCTACTGCTGTGTGAGTTAAGGCTTGAGTATCGTGTATGCAATCCGGCGTGGTTTCCCCATGTCAGTGGTGCAGGACGGAGGGCCTGACAAGGACAGCTCTCTAGTTGTTCGGATGGGACGAAAACCGAGATCCCGTGTATACAGTGGTGTGCACATAACATAACCCTTGACAGTTGGAATTCGATATAATATTAGGCCGTGTCGCGGCCATCCCGGCAAAGTTTAAAATTTCCCTCATCGCACTGTATGGCGTATGAGCGTCGTCATTTGTCCAGAAGGAGCAGAACAATAGGACGTTAAACCCCGTTTCATTTCATTTCATTTTCGTGTATGCAAATGTCATGTGTCGACATGCTATATATAGGGTACTGATTTCATTTCATTTCACAACGCCAGCTATTACCGCCATGGCAAATGACATCGTAGCCACGAGCGTATACAGACATGTTCTAATGTAATATTGTCTGCGATATCACCTCGGTTGACGCGGACGTAAAATACAACTAACTTACACGTTTTAATGTAATACTAGAACACTTATTATGGATACAATCACTTGGTTTATTATACTGCAACGTTTCAACAACATTTTACAAGTCGTTTTCAAGCAAATATCTAATGTACAAATGAGACATATCATGGGTGAAGTATATGTACAATCAACAATATCATTAATAAACGAGCTGTATAGACAGGTGACAAAAATTACTTTAAGGTTTTTATAAGAATATAAGTCTACTTGTAGTAAGTTTTTAGTTATTGGGGGGGGGGGGGGATCACGTGGCTAAGTGGGTAAGACGCTGACTCGCTAGCCTGGAGTTCGGGTGTTCGATCCCTGCATTGGCCGAGAAAGTTCATCCAGATTTTCCGGCGTGTTTCTCCCTTGTCAGTGATGCAGAACGGAGGGCCTGACAAGGACAGCTGTCTAGTCGTTCGGATGGGACGAAAACCGAGGCCCCGGGTACACATTGGCGTGCACGTAAAAGATCCCTTGGCAATTTGAATTCGATATACGAGTAGGCCGTAGCGCCACTGCCCGGGCAAAATTTCCCTCATAGCACACTGTATCGCGTATGCCCGTCTTCATTAGCCCAGGTTAGGAGCAGAACAGTAGGACGTTAAACCCCATTCCATTTCATTTTTTTTACTTATTGTAATGATATAAAAACGTAAGGTTAACTCTTAGTCACATTTAAAACATTATAATCATATCATAATCAGTTAGGTAATACAGTTTTAAACAATGGTTACAGTATTTGATATAATTTTGATATTTTAAACGCCCAATAATTTAAATATGCAGTGTTTTGATTTTTGAAGAATTAATTGTTTGATTACATTTATAGTTTGAGTAAATTTAATAAAGATAAGTTAACAATTATAACAAATACATTATTGTTCGTATTGGTGACCGTAACTTTAAATGCTCCGGGAAACGTTGCAGTATAATAAACCAAGTGATTGTATCCATAATAAGTATTCTTATATTATATCATAAATCAATTGCTAAATGCCTCTCAAAGATTATAACAGACATATTTAACCAGGGTTTATTCTAGGAGGTCTCGGATTCGATCTCGGTATTCGCGCGGTTTCTCCCAGTGGGAGCACAAAAGTTGGATGTTAAACCCCATTTCGTATTTCAGTGATTCAGGTTTACAAAATGGAGCTTTAGCCTTTCGCCTACAAACCAAAAATACGCAGATTCTTGTTTTAATGGTGAGTTACATGGTTTTGTTTTTTTGGACCAAGAAATGGATCCCAAACTCAACTCACCTTGCGGTTATTCATAAGAGAGTGGGGTGGCGTTTTGGCAACGGGGGGCAACTGTAAAAGGTCGATCTGAACGCCTCTTACAACTTGCCCACTAGACATTGGACAGGCAAGGTGTGCAGCCTGTGGGTGATACAGCCAATCAATGGGAAGATGACAGGTTGTCAACAAATGGAAAAAAAGGCAGGTTGTCAACCAATGCGTGGTGTGTGTAAAATAATTGTATTCGTTTCTTTTGGATCCTCCCCTTATGCTGGGCCTTGTACTATCTTCTATTTCAAACACACGTCAATCAACGCCTACACGACTAACGATATATGGCGAGGGTATATTATATATATATTATCTGTTCGTGTTACATCCGGGATTAAACAACTTTTTGTTGTCTAATGTGTATCCGACCTGTACATATCTTATTTTATCTGACCGAATTAAACACGCATTGAGACATGTCGACTTTTGTTGTATTAAAAGTAATAAGTATCTGAATTAAACGTTTTTAGAAATTATGAATACATGCAGGAATAAATATGTCGATTGTGTTGTTGTCGATTGGCTGAGTAGATGTATTAAACTTGTTCTTAGAAATAATAAAATGTATATATATATTTTATTTTATCTGATGGAATTAAATATGTATTAAGCCTGTCACGTCGGCTTTTGTTTTGTATAAAGAATAGATACCTGCATTAAACGTTTATTAGAAATTATGAATAATGCGGTTTGTTAAATCTGAGTGGGGCGGGGGTGTTCTAGGTTACTTTTATTTCTATAATCGGCATGCGCGTAGTTATTTTAGTTGGAGAAAACCGGCTGACGTTCTGGATTGCTAGTTTATGCAGCCGGAGTTTCAATAAGGGAAAAAACTCTAGGCTGTCATGCTGGGACTTTTCGTCGTTGGACGGAGGATCTGGCAGGGACAGTTCGGGTGGAACGACAAACCGAGGTTCCGTGTACACATTGCCGTACGAGTAAAAGAACCCTTACTGACATCTGGAATTCGATATAAGAGTAGACCGTAGCACCGCTGACTGGGCAAAAGTTCCCCCAGAGCACACTGTATGACGGTAAACCCCATTTCATTTCAAATCCGCTTTAAATGATTAATACACACACAGACAAAATATACAATTTTTATTTTATTAAATTGAACCCGAATATTTACCTTTCAAAATTGTTTCAGATAACTAACTGGGATACGTAATACGAAAATCATAAATAACCGGTGTCCTGGGGCCTGTTTCACGAACTTTTAACTAAGGTAAAACCCAAATTTTAGTAATTTGATTGGATAATATTAGACTGATTTTAGTGCTTAGCTAATCAAAATTGAAGTATCTACTAAAATTTGTATTTTATTTTTAGTTAAAATTTCGTGAAACCGGGCCCTGGGCTATTAAAGCAATGTAGTTTAGATTTTTGAAAATAAATCAAATTTTACAAGCACAAATTGAATAAATAATACAATTTTAAAGAATGTTACAAGCACAAATAGATTAAATTTGATTTCTCGTGGCACTGTTTCGATCTTTCATCAATAGGAACAGTAGCGCAGTGAACAGTTTATAATGGAATACAATTTAAGAAATTTGAAACTTCTGTTAAAAATTTTAATTAGACATCACACATGATGATTTCGGATTCAATTCACCTAGTGTTGCTACTAAATTACAAATAACATCATAATAGCAAGTCAGGAAACGAGGGGGAACGCAATGTAAAGAGTAGCAGAGCTATGTAGATGCTGGATGCTGGAGAGAGTCGACATTAAAATATATTTAAAACGTTATAAAGTTGACGAAACGACCTCTCCTTTCTACCTTATGTCTGTTTATGTACTGCTGTTGAGCGGAGATGTTTTAAAATACTTTTTATTTACAAATTAGATAAATATCCGATAATTGCAAATGGCGATTCGCGTATATAAAATGTCATTCATCTTTCAAAGTTTATATTTATATAGATTGGTGGAGTTTAATTAAACATAAATCACTAAGATTTTTGTAATTAGGTGACAACATTATGATATCGTTTTATAAAATTTAATAAAATGTGTTGACTGTGTATTCTAATATGGTAAAGGGAAGGTAGCGTGGATGGCCCTGTAAACACAAGTAGGTATATCCACTCTATTACCCCATCCAAGGATACCATAGACTTGCTTGACGAAATGGCGATAAGCTGTGTAACGGTATTGCCTGTAAATAAAACAACTATCTATTATTCAAATTATATTCAGGTCGTGCAGGAATCAAGGGGAATAACTCCAGAACGCAAGGTTGGACTAAGACTAATAAAGTAGTGCGAGTTATAAATAGACAATTTTTCCCTTAATTTTTTTCTCCCCTCTTCCTGCATTTTTGGGTTGACTTTTTGGTCTAGAATAGGAGAAAAGGGATCAAATTTGCAATTTTATAGCAGTTTTGGGTAATACTGATGATATTACAGCGGAGGGATAGGGGGTGTAAAATGTCTTTCTGCCGAGCAATCATTGTATCGGAAGTGAGATTTTCACCCCAGTCAACTTCAAATCCCCGTAGCAAAAAATCTAAACGGTCAACCCCCTACAAGTTTATGATGAGGAGATTGCCAAATATGGTCCCCATTGTGCCTATAAAGATTGGAACCAACGGAATGTTGAGCAAAAAGCTACAGCCTGTGATGTTACAGCCATTTAACATTGAAGTCAATGGGCAAATAATTACTAGTCTGAGTCCGGTTGGCTAACGCTAAAAATCATCAGGGACCATCTTCCAGCGTAGGTGTTGCGTCATACCAAATGTCTAGTCTCTATCGAGTTAATTAAAAATCGCAATGTGCGAATTGCAAGGTCGGAAACTTCCTATATTCAGTGATAATACCCCGTCTTCATTAGCCCAGCAGAATAATAGGACGTTAACCCCATTTCATTTCATTTCATTTCAGTGATAATGCAGAAATCATGGGGCATAACTCCAGAACGCAAGGTCTGGCATTAGGTCAACTGGCGTGTTTTCGATTTTCCGGTGGTACGTGGCAAGGGGTAGGATCGCCTGTCCAATCTCGTGGGTTTTCCCCGGATCCTTCTGTTTACTCCAACTGCTAAAGACCCCTACGCGCAAGCGAATTATTGAAATAAAATTGAAGCATATGTTAGTCAAGAAATGACCTAGTTTGTGTCGAGTAGACGTTAAGCCCCATCTCTCTCTCCCGGTGGTGCTTTTGCGGTGCCGCATACCAAATGTCTAGCCGCTATCGCGTTAATTAGAAATGTGCGAATTACAAGGGCGGTAAGTTTAAAGCGGAAATTCGAAGCCTATGCTTCGTGCAAAGTTTGCCAAAATCATCCAAATACTCCAGCCTCTACCACGTTCTTGACATGAAATGTTTGTGAGAATTGAAGGGGAAATAAGTCGGTAACAAATCGTCGTAGATCATAATCCCATTACATTACAGGTGGACCTAATTTTTCGACATAAGCTGTCTTCTCGACGGTTTTATACAGAATCGGTCCCACGGAAACCATTTTCACTATCACGCTAAATTTAAAAAATATACTCACTCGTTTACATGTCTTCCAGGTTGCGGCCCGTCTGTTTCATATTCTTTATGAAGTATATCTAGGGCCCGTCTGTTTCATATTCTTTATGAAGTATATCTAGGGCCCGTCTGTTTCATATTCTTTATGAAGTATATCTAGGGCCGACGCATTTAAGCATTCATTCACAAAAAAAATCCATTCCGGTAACACAGACTGCGTTCTCATCAGTACGACAGCAGAGAAACCCGTTGCAATCTTTACAGCTACATTCAACCTTGACTGTACACCGCCCACATTTACAATTAACATTCTGTTGCCTGTAAAAAAACAAACATAAATATTTAACTCCATCTTCAATTAAACCTGATTAAAACACAGATCTTATTTCGTTTCGTGTTTTATAGTTCAAAATTTCGTTTTACTTGTCTTTACTACACTAGGATCTGGAAGAGTTGTTATATAATAGGCTTGCTTATTGATGTGTGGAATTAACCAATGAAACGGTCTGTTACGGCGACTTCTTAGCGTTCTCTGCGCGGAACTGTGGGTAAATCCTTAGAAACGTCAACGCTGATTGAATAATCAATGTCTGACGTCATAGGGTAAAAACCTGCTCGTTTGAGCCCTGACGTGAACTACCACTATAGTAGGCCATCAAAATGAAAAATAGATCTGTATTGTAATCATATTGTCTTCAATTGAACGAAATCTGTTCAACTTGTCACTGGCAACTACCTTCCAGTCGAGACACCTTCATTTCAATGTCATGTTTATTTAGCATTAACTATTTATTTGAGAGAATTATCTCATTGTGAAGACTAAAAATAGGTTTGCTTGCACCGAAACGGACGCCCACTAACTGATCAACGGTTACGTGGTCGGAACCACAGTAAAAGTTTGGAACAAGATCTTATCATAGTCTTAAAATGTAGGAATTCAACAGTTTCAGGTATTTTTTTCACAATATCTTACTTTCTTTTGTACTCTTTGCATAGCTTTTGCTTTTTAAACAAGAAGTTGCCATGCAAGAAACGTCCAAGTTTCACAAGAGATGGACGGAGAACAGGGTAACCAATAGGGATAGTCCTTTCATTGTCACAATTCTTAATTCTTCACATCGAATTGGGAAAGAAAAAGAGTTGAAATTTTGTTGCGCACAAAAAGCGAACTCATTCTAAATCTTAAACGTATTATTTCAGATTCATCAAAATCACATAAAAAAGTAACCTCTAGGAGTCCACAACCTTGGTATTACATGCTTTTATACCATTTGCTAAAAAAGGTGAGCGACCATTTAACGGGAAATATGGGTCCGATTTTCACGATATTAAAACAGCCGTTATTACGGTGACATATTTGAATGGTTTTTTAAAACCAAATATACAATTATGACCTCTAGGGATCTAGATCTTTGGGATATAACCATATATATTAAGCTTCGTCATAATCGGATCTCTACAGGGATCGCAAGCTGAAAACGCGATATTTCGTGGAGTCAGGGACCATAATCTATAACTTTAAGGTCCGATACATGCAATTTTTGAAAGGAACCGAGCTCTTTGAAATATAAATAAATTATAATATGAACGGACGTCCGGACGGACAGAAGCGACTGTATAATACGTCCACGTGAACATGCGGGAGTATAAAAGGACAATTTTTGTTCAATAATAAAACACAAATCGATAAGGCCTTTAATTTTTTCTCATCCATCTTATAGAGCTAGCACAACAATTAAATGATTAATATTCAAAAAGATAGGTTGCCAGACAACGAAACATAAGTTAAATCGTCCGGACAGTCAACCAGCGTTGTCACATATTTTGTTCTTTTGTCAGTAATGAAAACATTTTCAACACACTAAAATCTGAGTACGAGTAACAACCTATTAAGTTATTATCAGAAACCTTTACAATTTGTTTGGCTTCTAGTTATTGCGTATACTAACGTATACAAAACAATGTTGAAACGTAGCTTTAATAGAAATACAGTAATTGTTATCCATAGAACTGTTGTGTTATTTTAAAGGGACAATAACACTCTTGCTGGCTTGAAAGCTCCAGAAAATAAATAATATTTCTATCTAAGTACTAGATGTTTAATTGTCCTACTGTTGTGTAAATTATCCATTACATCCTATTTTACTTGTCAAGAGGGTTCGAAAATATTTTTAAATCGAAGTTTCATTTGAAAAGGTTTACGTTAGACGTTTCAAACCATTATGTTGAATTTTTCAAAATTTCTAAACAAGGTTTGTTAAGATGAAATTTGTATCATTAATTAATTGAAATATTCTAAAATAGTACAATTTGTTGACCAGAATAAAGATTAGGACATATTATTCAGTTACAACAAGAGTGGTATTGAGCCTTTAATGTTTTCTTCTTTGATTTGATTTTTTAATGTGTTCAATTACTAAATGCCATTCAAACAGTATGATTAAAATATTCTTGATTGAAGACTTAATTCTTTAATTATGATTATTCCATATCAGTTGATCTATCAATATAAAATGTGTATATTTAATACCAATTCTGAAATTAATTTGAATAAAATGTATTAAAATTAGATAACGGTATTAAATATTCATTGTGGTTTTGTAAAATATATTCATAAATAATTGTCCATTGTTGTTCTTGTTCTGAGTATAATCTCTTTATCCAAAAGACACCTTGGCTCTTCAAGATTTCATTAAAATGTACCATATTTAAGCACCTCCATTTCACAGTTTTTGGAAATGACATTTCATTTGATTTTATCTGGGCCTGATTACCATAGTTCTATATAATCTTATGGCAGTCTGACATTATATTATCTGGAATAGTTATAGTTAATGTTGGGTATAGTTTCAGAGATACAGGATGGTTTTATAACCCGAATGATTCATTGCTGGCTAGAAAATAACAAGAAAATAAAATGAAAGTGAAATAAGCTTTCCTTGAAATCGTTAGTTGATTCAGTGAATCCGACTAGCGGCTAATTATTCATTGCTGGCTAGACTTATCCGTATTAGGTTTAGATATTGACATGGATTTATTTTTTCCAAAATTTAAATATATATTAATGTAGATATTTGAAACTAAAAACTATGAAATGCATGCAGTCATCCTGCATCATTAATTTCTGTTGTAATGGAGCAATGACACAGGTGTCTGACCTACAAAAAGACACATTATGTCGAACCCAAAACATCGTATCGTGTCATTAAAAGTTAATCTGTCAAATTATTTTAATTATAATTAATCGTTTGCTTTGATGTTTCTTAACCAGAAAATAAAAATGCCAATTAAATTAAACGAAACGACATTTATTGTTCAGTAAATATATATTTGTATTATATCAAACTCAAACACATCTAATAATATACGGGCAACTTGTCAATCGTACATTATCTATACTAGATAAAATATTGGACTCGCGTGACGTATTTCATTGAAAATCACATGCTGGGTAGTGTCTGTATTTTAAGTTGTTTAATGGTATCAAGCTAAAGACATTGTGTAATATATTGAAACAATATCTCGTGACTACGTCCCTCGTGTTGTTTCAATATATTACTTAATGTTTCGCTCTCGACCATTAAACCATACATATTACGCTTCATCAAAATCTGACCTCTACAGGGTCCGCAAGTTCAAACAGGAGATATTTCGTGCAATCAGGGACTCTAATCTATAAAATTACGGTAAAATAATGCAATTATCAAAAAAAAAACCCGAGATCTTTGAAATATAAATAAATTATAATATGAACGGACGTCCGGACGGACAGAAGCGACTGTATAATACGTCCACGTGAACATGCGGGAGTATAAAATGACAATTCCTGTTTAATAATAAAATACAACTTGATCAGGGTTTATTTTGTTCTCATCATTGTTGAATAAATCTTATACAGCTGGCGCAACAAATAGATGATTAATATTCTAAAAGATAGGTTGCCAGACAACGAAACATAAGTTAAATCGCCCGGGCAGTCAACAAGGGTTGTCGCATATTTTTTCGTTTGTCAGTAATGAAAACATTTACAAAATACTACAATCTGAGTACGAGTAACAAGCTATTAAGTTATTATCAGAAAGCGTTAGAATTCGTTTGGCTTCTAGTTCTGTCTTATACTAACGTATAGAAAACATTTAATATCAAGGGCCATAACTCTAAATACGGTGTATAAATTTAAAATCGTTCGTTCGTTTCAAGAGTTTTACGTCCACTTCCACCTAGACAAAGATGTTTCCTAGGGAACTTACTGGAGGAAGCCGTAGGGATTAGGCTTGGTCCAGTTTAATTTGATACATAGTGTCTTATCAGGGAATGCCCAAGGTAAAAATCTCATCGAAAGGAGAGGAGAAAGTTTTTGGGGGTAGAAGAGGAAGGATGGCGAGCGGGCGCAGTCTGGCCCGCTTGGCCATTAATGCTACGATCTTGATTTGGGTAGGTAAGTTGGTCTGACGGTCAGTCGGGCCCTTGGGCCCGCCGCCTGTCCGACCTAGATATAGGGTGCATATATGCTCCGACCTTTTGGGTCGGTAGGGGTAGGTAGGACTGTCAGCCGGGCCCCAGGGCTACGCCGCCTATCCGACGGAGGTTCAGGGATGCAGCGATGTTTCTGGGCCAGGCATTGAAATGCCGCAGGCCTTGGAGCCGAAACAGAAAACGGCCCTCCACAGGTACCCGACGTCCCTTCACGTAGGGGCGTCCGACTGGCAGTAGCCCTCGGGATGATCACTTATGGATCCCGTCCGCTGGGTCTTGGGGTGGGCCCCCAAATCTTCACAGAGTAGAACACTCTTTTCGTCCCTGTGGGGTCACATCATCATATCTAGGATACCGATCTCGGATACCAATTTAAATTAGTACTGAAAAATTAATACATTTTGAAAACATAAGGAAATAAACATTATATATTAAAACTATAATAATAAGTTTGTATAGTTTAATTTTCAAGATGTTGTCTACTGTGTTGTATATAAGTTTAGTTTTCGTTACGATGTATGAAATATAACTTCTGTCATTTGGCAGATTTTCTTACATGAATATTGTAATAACAATATAAGTAAATTAACAATATTTAATGCTTTTTCATTTTTTCAATTCTTATGTGTTATTATACCTAAGTGTTTAATTATACTGGTGAGATTTATATATATATTAATATTTCATGTAGTTTCTGTGATATTATTTGAGAATATTCGCATTCAGTTGTAGAATTACAAAAATCACACAGTTAGATAATCTCATTTTATATAAGCGATTGTTTAGGTAAATTATATCTAAATGTTATCATTTTATATAAGCGATTATTTAGATAAATTATA